TAAAGTTGCGCATGCTCTATGAGTGTGTTTATAAATTACCTCGAGGGCCATACCAAATTGTCTCGCGGGCCGTATACGGCCCGGGGGCCGGAGGTTCCCCACCCCTGTTCTAAAACATAATATTTGCATTGTGTGTCATATGTTGACGCGGGGCTGTGTTTCAAAGCACTTGACTACACTCTCTGCCATTGTGTGTAAATAAATTACAATGATTTGAGGGTGTATTGTGGATTTACAGTGGGAAAGTGAGCATAGCCTAGGATGTATGGAGTCAGATCAGTCTCAATATTAATAAATGCACAGAAGGATTCACAAATGTATTTCGGGATTTATATATAAATGACTCTCTCCACAAAAATATTTTTCAATGCACACAAAAATATGTATTGTTGCATATAAATGTAAAATAATCCACAGATAAAAAAGTTTCACAAATATAGGCATATTTCTGACATATAAATATTTCTTGTTTTAAGTAATGTAAAAGAAAACCACAATTAGTTATAATTTCCATAGTTTCCTGTTAAAAAAATATGTATTTGTCATTTCCGTCAGGGAAGTCTCAAAAAAAAAAAACACAAATGCAGAGGTTCACAAGAAAAGCAGTTTAAATGCCCATTTTTTTGTACATTTATATACAACAATAAATATTTGTGAGTGCATTGAGAGATATTGTTGTGGAGAGTCATTTACATATAAATCGCAAAATACATTTGTGAATCCTTCTGTGAGCATTTATTAATATTGAGACTGATCTGACTCCATACCGATGTTAAGTTCACCTAGGAATGGTATCGACTTAAATGTTCAAATAAATGTTGCTCTTCTGTCTATATTGGTCATGCCCCTTGACTGAAATGTTTCCTGTTCAATATTCCCACTGATTTCCTTAAAATTCTGGGATCAAATCAAATCAAGTTTTATTTATATAGCACATTTATAAACGATTTTTGGTCGAGCCAAAGTGCTGTACATATAATAAAAATAGCCTACAGTAAAGACACTTTACAGCAAATACAACAGCACAGATTGTTCAGAATATCAGTATGAGAAAAACAACACCCTCTATCCTTAGACCCTCACATCGTACAAGGAAAAACTTCCAGAGAAAACCCACAGTTTAAGGGGAAAAAATGGGAGAAACCTCAGGGAGAGCAACAGAGGAGGGATCCCTCTCCCAGGACGGACAGACGTGCAATAGATGCCGTGTGTAAATGAAGGATGAGAGTCCACATCACAATTTACTCATTTCCCTTTCATCACTCACCTCAGCAATGGACCTCTCTCCACTGTCCCTGTATTCCGCCTCTGACTCACTCTCAAGCGCCTAGATGTCAAGAGAGGTGGTGAAGTGATCCTTATGTATTGAGCAGTATACTCTTTCACATTGAATCATAACAAGTCATACTGAATGTAAATACAACTGACTCTAAAGTAAGTCCCAGTCTGTGACATTGGATATTTTGAAGACTCAAAGTCTCTACGTAGAATATTAGCTAGTCTGTGTAATGTGCACAGAAAATAAATAGTTAACTGAATACTGGGATGGAAATTGCCTATAAGCACTCAGTAAAACATAAACACACACAAAAAGCTTCTGAATGATAAGACGTATAATTAAAACATAATGCACATTACCATTTTGAGAGAGAGTACCGAAGTTAAAGAACTCAGAAAATAATCTCTTATCGAACTGAGGCTCCAGTAAAACACACTGACTGCGTCTCTACATGGACATCAGTAAGCCGTTTATGAGTATTATCCCGGTTATGATCATATTGGGGATATGGTGTTTACATGAGCACAGAGAGATCGGGTTATTCATGTTCCCTATTTACATGATAAACTAGTAACCTGGTATTTCGATGCCTTTTCTCATCTAAACTATTCAGTATTTGTATCTCTCTATCATGAAATAAAGACGAAACTCCTCTCCAGAAGTGAGACGCCGCCGCCGCCATGACTGTTAACTGATTAACTGCTACCAGCTGATGATTTAGGCCCAATCCCAAACCACTCCCTCGACCCCACCCCTCCGTGACGGAGCGAACTCAGTCTGTAGCCACACTCGCAGCTCAACGAGGCTCCCTCCTGTCAGATGGAGGGAGTAAATACAGCAGGAAGCTTTGGGACGGCCTCCCCTCTCTCCGGCAGAAACAGGAAATGCCGTAACTGTATGTAACAACGGTTTCAAATCAGCATCTCTTAGACAAAAAGTTTAAATGAATAACTCAAATAAAACTCCACAAACACCTTTCATTGTGTTTCAAAGCTCTTTTAGTTTTAAACCTGATGTTTATAAGCTTCTTAGTTTTTGCAACGGTCCGTAAATATACACAACTTTATAATAAAATGCACAATTTTACCTTTTTCTAGACTAAACACAGGTATGATCCTAAGTTAAAAACATATGAGGTCATCATGAGGTTGTTAACATCGTAGTTTATCAGTGGATGTTTGCTGGAACTACTTTTTAACAGCTTGTTTCCCGACGGACACACACAGCGTGACTCCGGTCAGATAGAGACCGGTCTCAAGTCAGCATCGCTGCAGACTCGCTGTTTGAGGGCTTGATAGCCCACTCCCCCTCCACACTTGTTGCTTTGGAACAGCCCTTAATATGACGGACCCTCCGCGTGAACGTGCAAACGGAGGGGTAGGGTGTAGGGGGCGGTTTGGGAATGAGCCTTACTTTCCTCTTCTTTAAACATTTTTTTCTTATGTCCATGTTGTCTGGGGGAGAAAACATATCAAACCAAGAGATCGTCAGCTTTGATTTTCGCTGTATTAACCATTACCTGAACATTTGGTGTGTGTGCCTTACCTCCGCTACCGGCATCACTTCATACAACAGTTCTGAGCTGTCCAACTATGGCAACACTCCTTGAACATGCGCGCGCTATGTGAGAATCTGCCTTGGTACAAAGTAGCAGTGAAAACATGGTACGGAGTTTCATTGATTTGGGCATTCTCTCAATAAGCAAGTGGAATGGATTTGATAGTGAAGCACTGACACAGCGCTCTACAAAGTGCGGCGAGTGGATAGACCGATTCACGGACTTTCCGCATAGTAAAAGTGGGGGGGTCTAAACTAATCATTTGAAAAAGTGGGGGGGACTTGTCCCACCCTCATATAATGGCTGTGACGCCCATGATGGGACCTTATTTCTGAAAAATTATGTATTAAAGTCAATGGAGAGAGAAAACGTATCTTTCGATCCTGTTTGAATTGTGCCATGAATTACACATATGATGTTTGTCAATCTTAAAAAATCATTTCCATGTCCAAAAAGTCCCAGTTTGTCTTAAAACTGTTGAAATATAAGACTATGAAAAATACGCAACTAGAAAGACTACAAATCCCAGAGTCGCGTACATTAACGTTACACATTACACTCGTGTTACTCACCAAAACCTTGTAAAGCCGGTCCCGCATGCTGGCTCTTGCGGAACCGACTAACACCCCTTTTGTGTATGTACAGTTCTCAACATGGCCAGACTTGTAGTGATTGTCACCTCTTTTAATACATTTCACTTCATTCTGAAAGAAAGAGGTGAAATGTGCTAACGTGACGGCCATCTTGGTGTGGTGACGTATGCAAGACCAGAGTTGTAGTTCATTGAGCGCTTCACACAAACAAATGTGTTACTTCACAGTTTTACGACACATTTTTTTTTTTTTTACTTGCAAAATTATCTTTTAAATTGACAAACATCATATGTGTAATTCGTTGCACAATTCAAACGGGATCGAAAGATAATCTTTCTCTCTCCATTGACTTCAATACATGATTTTTCCGAAATAAGGTCCCATGGAGGTCCCCCGGAAGGGGAGGGACTTTGCCACTCTATATATAGGCCCTCTGTGAATGTACAGAGGGACCAACAAGCTCTCCCGTCTTCACAGTAACTCGCAAACGGCATTTAACCCTTCACATTCCAACAGAAACTGAACAGGCAGATTCGAAGGATTTATTTCTTTGGAAATGTTATTTTAAATACAATTAAATCAAGTTATTTTGCTAAAACTAATGAAACATTTAACAAAAATGTATATAAAAAAAAATATTTTAAAAAAAATGTTTTTTTTTAATGTTTTCAAATATAATTGTTTAGAATATCTTAGGCCCTCACAGAGAGATATGTAAATGTATTTATGTATATGTAGGCAGTCTCTCAAACAAATGCCTCTTCAAGCGACGGTTCACTCGACTTTACTTTAGACATTTCACCAGCCTTGCTTGTTGAAGCAGATCTTAATTTCATACATTCTTCGGACCCCAATAACTGCTTTCTGTTGATGTGGTGGAGTCAATTACTTGTGTTGCCTAATCAGGCAACAATTTTTGTTGGACAACATTTACAATAAATGTTTGTTTGGTCCACGTCAGATTTTTTAAATCCAAAACACCTCCAAACGACAGACAAAGCTCTTCTCTACGGCAAGTTCTTCTTGTGTGTCATATGTATCTCCATCTCCAGCCTAATTTTCTTCAGTGTCCATCTTTCAAGGTTCAAGGTTCAAGGTTCTTTATTGTCAAATTAACATAGCTTTACAATCAGCTTCACATATTATGCTACTGCTACTACGCTTTTCTACTGTACCCCAGCATGCATTTCAGCGGTGCGACAGTGAAAGGAGTCCCCAGGGAACTGCCGCACCGCTCAACCACCCTTTGCCACTTTTTCAACGGTATTGCGGTATATGAGAAATTCCTATCATACGGTATAAAGTTCTCGGTATTCGGTATGAAACGGTATACCGCCCAGCATTAGAAGTAAACATGTTAGAAGTGTTGGTGGGTGGGCAACCGGTGAGGGATCTCATGAGATCTTGGGGGATAGCTTGAACTCCTGCAGCTGGTACGCCCCTGAGCTTTTCACTCACAGGTAGTAACATTGTGAATGAGTTAGGGTTAGAATAGCTTTCACACAGAACATAGATGTACATGCTAGTGGAGGTATTCAAGTCTTATTTATGTTTGTGTGATGTGTGCTACCTGGTGTGTATGTGAGGAACTTGTAGGCCATGTTAGCCAGTGGTAGGATGGGGATCATACAGTTGTCACCGTTGGTCTCAATGAAGTCATGGTGAGTGATGGCGGTTGGGTCAATGTGGTGCTCCCTGAACGGGCGAATAAATGCCTATAGAGGGATATAAAGAGACAGGTTAAATAATTAATATCTGTTAATCCCTCCATCCTTTACAAGAGCAACCTATTTGTGATTAAAATTAAACTATATATTATAAACTCAACACAAAAAGTAAGTACATTTGTGTTTAGTAGATTATTTCTTAGATGTAACAATGTTTCTTGGCAATACATCTTATACCGTTGGAAAGTTTATTGTTTGGACATCTTTGACATCTTTGAAATTCAGTTACTGACGGACGCCAAAAAAGCCCGAGATTATGGAATTAAACCAGTAAATAAAAGCAAGGATAATTGTGTGTTATTGGTGAGTAAATAACAGTGTGTTATTTTGAAAAGAATAACAAATTAGAAGGAAAAAAATATTTAAAAAATACAGATTTCAGTATTCTGAGGCTCTGAGCCCCATTTATTTTCCTCACAGACGGCAACAAAAGTCCGAAATTATACGATTTAAAATAAAAGCAATAATTGTGGCTTGATATTGAGTAAGAACATGTTTTTATGAACCACACAGCTTCCGGTCTTCCACGACCCGACCGGAGAAAAATAAGTGCTGCAGGCACGAAACACATTACCAGTAGAAATACATTACTTTTAAAATCGTGCTGTGCAACACGAAAAAAAGGGGGAAATCGTGTTGGTGAACACGAATCAATAGATTAAAAATCGTGTTGGTGAACATGAAATGCCATGAGACTGGGTTGGTTCACCTGCTCATTAATGCAAATATCTAATCAGCAACTCACATAGCAGTAACTCAATGCATTTAGGCATGTAGACATGGTCAAGACGACCTGGTGAAGTTCAAACAGAACATCAGAATGGGTAGAAAGGTGGTTTAAGTGGCTTTGAACATGGCATGGTTCTTGATTGATTGATTGAAAAGTTTATTAACAGCTTGTATATTGGGTACAGTACAGTACAGCTCAAAACATACAATTGTTAAAGGCCCTGTCACACTGTCCCGAAATTGACACCCGATGGACACACGAATATGGAATTGTGAATTTCGCACGATGATGGCCCCGAACCACACACGAAGGCAACATTTACATTACATTTAAGACATACAATTGCAATGAAAGTACCAAAAACAATTGTGATACTGTACTGATATCTTCAGACTTTGTTCTTTACTTTATCCGTCGTTATATGTAGAAAATATTACGTTTTCTCCGTAATGTTGTTTCCATAACAACAACAACTTCCTGTCAACTGTCCTTCAAAATAATATATTATATCCTTTTTAGTTTCACAGAACACAAATTGGGTTATTTACATAATATATTTACATGATTTTGTTGTGCAATAAAAACAACCCGATGGACACACGATAAAGGAAATGTTCAAATTCGGCTGTGATCGTAGCAACATCGGGCCATTCGTGAGGGCATCTTAAGCCATCGTATGACCGCCGGTGGAGTTTCTCAGGCTCCGGCAGCAACTTCGTGAGCGGTGGCAAAATCTTTGGCATGCCAAAAAATTGCCGAAGGACCTTGCGAAGGTTCATTTTCGTGTTGAATTCGTGTGTCAATTGTGCCCTTCGTAAGGCCATCGTGAGGGCATCGTGTTATCATCGGTGCCATCGGGCATTCGCCCCGATCAGAGTGAGGGCGAATGCCCGATGGCACCGATGATAACACGAAGATGACACGATTTGATAAGATGTCCTCACAAGTGCCTTACGAAGTTGCCGCTCACTAAGTTGCTGCTGGAGCCTGAGAAACTCCACCGGCGGTCATACTATGGCTTAAGATGCCCTCACGAATGGCCCGATGTTGCTACGATCACAGCCGAATTTGAACATTTCCTTTATCGTGTGTCCATCGGGTGTCAATTTCGGGACAGTGTGACAGGGCCTTTAGGGGATGCAGACCAGAGAAAGACTTTCGTCGTGTTTACATCAGGGTCCCCCATTTCCAATTCATCATGTCATTTAAGACATATAAGACATATTTGACATACAGATGGCTTATTTACAATTTACATACAGGTGGTTTTTTACATACAGATTGCTTGTTTACAATTTTCATTTTAGATTTCGTTCTAATACATCCTAACCGGACATTTAAGACATACCAAGACTACAGATATACAGTTAGTAACAGAGTCTAAAATGCGAGTATATACATAGATGGGGGGGGGGGGGAAGCTGTCCATTGAACGACAGGTTGAGATTTGTACCATTACCCGGGCCAGTTTTGCAATGCTCTCCCCCGAAGGTGCTCTTTAAGAGAGGTTTTGAAGGTAAGTATAGTTTTACTTTCCTTTACAGTTGTGGGAAGAGCGTTCCACCTTGATGTGGCATAATTGCGAAACGTGTATTCCCCCTTTTTTGTGCCAAATCTGGGTTTCACATGATTTGTGGAGCTCCCTCTGGTGTTATGATCATGGTATTCCTTGACCTTTGGGAATAATTTTGACATGTACATGGGTACCATAGAGGTGTAGTGGATCTTGTAGACCAGGCCCATTGCAAGTAGCTGTACTCTGTCGTCTACTCTAAGCCATCCTAGGTTGTCAAAGTGGGCAGAGGTGAGGTGGGTTCTAGATGAAAGGTCAAGCAGTAGTCTGACCAGTTTATTTTGCGATGTTTGAAGTTTTATTTTTAGCGCCTTGGAGGTGCTATGGTACCATGACGTGCAAGCATAGTCATAGTACCCTTGAATGAGTGCTCCTGCCAGTTTTCAGGGTGTTTTTGTTTACCAGAGAGGAGATCCGGTATAGGAATCTAGTTCTTTGATTGACTTTTTTTATTACATTGGATTCCATTTTGTCACAGGAGAGGTTTGCCTCAAGAATAGATCCTAGGTATGTAATTTCCTTCTTACTTGTGACAATAATGTCGCCCACTGCAACTGAGAAGTCGTCGGATTTGCTGAGATTATGTTTAGAACCGAAGAGAATGGACTCTGTTTTACCCAGGTGTAATGATAATTTATTATCGGCGAGCCAGGTGCAGATTCTGCCGAGCTCGGAGCTGAGGGTTTTTTCAACCTGCAACCTGTTCCTGCCAGAGACCAGCAGGGCTGAGTCGTCCGCGAACAGGAACAAGTTGCAGTCACATGCTGATGACATGTCATTTACATAAATTAGGAACAGTAACGGACCTAATATGCTTCCTTGTGGAACACCACAGCTCACTGGGAGGGGGGGGGACAGAGTACCGTTTACCTCCACCATCTGTTCTCTCCCCTCCAGGTAGGATTGCATCCAGCTCACCGATAGTTTATCAAAACCAATTGCTTTTAGCTTGTCAATCAGAATGGGGTGATTGACAGTGTCGAAAGCCTTTTGTAGGTCCAGCATCACCATGCCGCAGTACTTGCCCTCGTCCACCTCTTGTTTTATGTGGTCGCTCAAATAAAGAAGGCATGTGTCAGTGGAGTGGGATGTTCTAAAGCCAGATTGAAATTCATAGATTAGTTTCTTTTCCGCGAGGTACTATTCGACCTGTTCATATACTATTTTTTCCATGACTTTCGAGATGGAGGTAAGTATAGAAACAGGGCGGTAGTTGCCTGGGTCCAATTTGCTGCCCTTTTTGTGCAGGGGGGTTACTCTTGCAATTTTGAAGTCTTTGGGTACTTTTCCTTGTTTTATGGAGAGGTTAATTATGTGAGCTATGACTGGTGAGATGGCGGTTGCTGTGTCTCTGAGGAATTTGGAGGGGATATTGTTGTGGCCAGTGGCCTTGTTAGGTTGGAGGGCGCTCAGTTTAATGAGTACCTCTGCTGTTGTTACCCTTGCTAGACTGAAATCATCTTTGCGTACCCCTAGGTTTTTGTAGTAGGTCATGATGTGAACTACTCCAAAAAGCCCTGAGTGGGAGGGTAATTTATTTACAAGAGTTGTGGCTATGTTTGTGAAAAAAATGTTCAAGTACTTGGCCACATCCAGTTTGCCTGTTATCTGTCTTTATGTTTAAGTTAGAAAATCTCGTTTTGAGTTTTTTACTGCAGCCAAGCTGGTTATTGAGTAATTTCCAAAGTTCACGGGGTTTATTTTTGTTTTCCTCAGTTTTGACATTGATGAAATTCTTTTTGGCAGTTTTGATCATGGAGCTTATGTCATTTCTTAGTCTGTTTCTTTCAATTTTGAGTTCAGTCACGTGGGCCTGGAGTTCACTGCTCGTGCTTTTGGAAAGCATTGACTGACTTTTATGAAACTCAGAGCATTTTTTGTCTCTGGTTTTCATGGCGGTCAGTATGCCGGAGTGCATCCACGGCTCAGCGCAATTTGTTACCCTGGTTGTTCTTAGGGGGGCCAAATCATTGAGTATTGCAGAGAATTTGTTTTTGAAACCAAGCCATGTTTCTTCAACTTGTGTACCACTGAGCTCATCTGACCAGTCCAGGTTCTCCAGTTCTAGGTTAAAGGCCTCGCTAGAGTAGTTTTTGAGGTCTCTAGATATGACTGTTTTGTGACAGCCGGCCCTTTGTTTTAGCTTTTTGCGGGTACAGAATATCATATAATGATCACTTAACCCGCATGCTATAACCCCTTTACTGGAGATCCTGGACTTGTCAGAGGTCAGAATGAGATCAATGGTAGTTTGTGTGGTTTCACATACCCGGGTGGGTTGGGTGATTAGCTGGCTGAAGCCGTGCAGATCACAAATCCTACTGAAGGACTTGAAGACGGACGTGTCTTTACGTTGCATATCCGTGTTCCAGTCTCCAATAATAATTGTCTCTACATCCCCCACATCAGCCAAACACCCATCTAATGTATCATAAAAGTCACTCTGTTCCGGTGGTCTATAGATTGTCCCGACTATCAGATTAAATATTTTCATGATGCAGGTCAGTACGGTTTTTGAAATTGGTGTCTTTATGTATGTACATGCAGACACCACCTCCATTCACATTCCTGTCCCTTCTCACTACAAGATAATCTTCAATTTCAATCTCTGAATCTGTAATGGAATTGTCCAATTTGGTCTCAGAAAAGCATAATATGCTTGCCTTTTCCGTTCATGAATAGCTGCCTGAGTTCAGCCAGTT